GAGCCCGGCGCAATATAAAACCACAAACGGTGGATCTTCTCGTCCTCGGCTGCCATGCTAAGCCCCGCAAAGCCAGTCCTTCTGATGCCAAATAAGACAGCTCGCAAGTATTTAAAACGCCCGCTCATCAAGAGCCCGAAGAATGAACGCAAAAAGTGGTGGGTAGGGAAATATGAAAAGATGGAGTAGGCTGCGACTGTCTGTAATAGTCCTTATCTTTTTCGTTTACTTAGAAGTACGAGCTCGAAAAAAGTTGGCGTACATGTGTAAGTAAAGAGTGTGACGGCACATTGATTCATATCCAGCAACGCCATCTTGAACGATGTATCCCACACACATCTGAGTTCAAACCGTGCCAAACAAATAATAGTATAAAAATTTTTGGCGAAATACTGCCAGGTTGATCTGTTAGTTTAAACTCAGGGGTTTCAACCTGATTTCCTTAGGCAAACAGCCAATAGTTCACCGACTGGGCTATAACCCTGGATATTGGCTTTTCGTCCTCTCACTTTGGTGGAAAAACGCCGTCACGAGAAGACAGTGAGTAGGGCTTTCTCAGCAGACGCTGTTTGAGACGCTTGGTCGTATAGGAGCGTTTCGCGAGGTGCAAGAGAACGGTGATCAGCCACATTCACTCCGACCATGCTTAGGCTTTCGAAGGTGCATGCTCGTATTCCTGGACAATGGGCAACATCAATAATATTTTTGCTCGCAGATTGAAGCTTTGGAGCCACGTGCATGCATATAAACCGCTCAAATCTTTACAACCAGGACTATCCCTTTTTATCATGACGTTCGCCCTGAAATCGTTGACTGTCACAAATACCTCATTTTCTGCCCTGTGAAGAAAACTAAACAACCTCGTTTCACTGATGGTTGAATATATATTCACCTGTTCAGTTCAGTTCTTACAGAACGATTTGCAAATTTGCTAATCGCGAAATGCTCCTATACGACCAAGCGTCTCAAACAGCCTCTACCGAAGGAGCCTTACCTTGGCAGAGGTATTCTTCAGCGGAGTAAGATTACGAAAAGCTAACATCCAGGGCTATAACCGGGAAGGTGAACCACTGGCAGTTCGCCTAATGGAGTTAGCTAAAACACCTGATTCCGAAACGACTAAGAAGAGGGTTACGAACAACACGCGTCCACACCTTGGTTGTGGCAGTGTTCACCGGCCCGATCGGTCATGTGGATGTATTGCCCCATCTTGGACGTTTGACTCTACCCGAAGGTCGTAGTATCTGGTAAACTGGACACCGGCTCCCAATGGGTTGTGGTTTTCAGAAGCCACGAAGTTGCCTTGCGGGTCAGACGTTTGTTAGCCGAATGCTTCAGTTGTGATTTGCTCGAGAAAATTTACATTCCCTGGCCTGGGCAACCTAGCAACCTAGCACTCACGAGCAAATCATGGACCTTTTTTCTTTTTATAAGGAATAATGTGCCGTGATTTGTTTGGCACACAGTCTCAACTCATACGTTTGTGAAAATAAAATAATAATTCATTAGCTTCTAACACTTCGATATGCAGTTTTTCTGAAAGCAGAAGAGCGCGGTTATTCGATACGAAGTTTTCATTGTGACCCAATGCTGCATCCCTTCTTTCCTCTTTATTTATTGAACAAACAAACAGGCTTTGGATAAAAAATAGTCACCAAATGACAGCTACAAGGGGCCTTTAACCCAAACTCCCGATTGGGGATCGGTCAACGCAAAACTTACTGGGAGGGAACCAGACCCGGAACAATTGCGTTGACCGATCCCCAATCGGGAGTTTGGGTTAAAGG